TGACGAAAGTGAAGCAGGAGGAGTTCTTGATCATTTCCCAGGGGTGATACCACATGAAGAAGAAAGGGAGGTTGAAGAAGAAATTGGCGTCCAGGCTGAGGACGGAGTTAAGGTGGAAGAGGCCTGCACCGGCCATGAGTTACATGTGATATCTCCACCAAACTTCGAGGAGCTGCTTGGCAAGGACCCATTTGCAGTGTCTCTTTGCCAGACCAAGGCCACATCAACATCGGTCCCTCTTGGTGGACGCGATGGTGGCCAATCGATGCTGTCTTATCTGGTTTGGGGCAATGGGACGAGAGAAGAGAAGAAGAGATCTCGAGGATGGAGACTTTATCTTCATCAAGTGCACGAGCTTCCATCACCAGTCATACCACATGCTCGTGACTTGCGACTCCACCTCATTGACGAGAAACTCAACTTCAAGGAGGTTCTAGCATGGAACGAAACTTAGGAGCCATCGTCCGGCTCACGACGTGAGAGAAGCGCTTGTTGGGAGGCAACCCAACCAGTCGGTTTGCATTTCTTTCTCTATTTATCCTCGGTTGAGTCAGTTTTGTTATTTGATTTTAGAGTCAATAACTCAACCTTTGTGAGATTTTGTGTGGTGTTTGTGTTCTGATTACTCTCTCTTCCTGGAATGCACCGCCTGACCCGTACATCATCATTCACCCTTGATCTGGTAACTTCGTTCTACCCTCCTTATCTTTCCTCCATTGAGGACAATGTCGTGCTTAAGTGTGGGGGGTGTTCGATTATGTATGCGGGTGAATGTTTGGCTGTTTGTGTGCTTGGAGCCTAGTCCACTGTCCAAATTTCGATTTGAGGGCTCCAAGTACGTGTTTCCATGCAAATTGCCTGCTCAGTATGCTTTGAATTGACAGACTCTATAGTAATGTGCAACCTGTGAAGGTAGTGTAGCACTATGGAGGATGTTGATGTATAAGATTTTTCCTATCTAGCTCTCTGCTGTGCAGGTTAATTTTGTGAATTAGTGGAGCTAAGACCGTTGAATTCATGTGGTAATGGTGACTCTATTTGGATTGTTTTATAGACTCGTGTATCGAACAGGGTGCTCATATGGAAAATGGGAAGCAGTTGGTCCTCCATGTCAAAATCATTAAATCTTAGGGGTAAGCCCAACGTGCGGCACCGTTCATTGCACAAAATCGGGTTTTGGAAGAGATTTTAGTGATCCTTAGTGGGGTACTCCTACAAGGTGAAGCTAAGCTGTCTCTAGTACAAGTAAAAATTCCACCCGTTGAACGGTTTGCCTACTCGAGGATGTGTTTTTAAGGGCACGGATAGAGCTTCCGACCCCACTTAATTTCATTGACCCTCCATACGAGTTGAGGAAAATGAGTTAAAAGAAGTACTCTGCGAGCGCCAGATGTACAGAAATTGCTCTTGCTCGACTAATAAGGGTCGACCATGCAAAGACTGCAGTTGGAACCCCCGCCAAGTGAATGAAGAAAAAAAGAGAAAAAGAAATGTAAATGAAAGTGCAAAAAGGGGTTCCAACGGTGAAATGAAGTGAAAGAGCACCCCAGTACAACGAGTCCTTGGTTGTGAATGGTGTGAGTTCCTTTATCCATGAACTAGTTGTCTTACTTCCACTTCTTCTCATGATCCTGGCTTGAGTCTAGTACTCGCATTGAGAGAGATAGGGGACGTCTTAGAAGACCAATTGACCTCGTAAGCTGCTATA